ACATAACCTCCCCCCCCCCCCCCCCCCCCCCCCCTCCCCAGCCCGCCTCCTCTCTCTCTCTCTCTCTCTCTCTCTCTCTCTCTCTACAGAATTCACTGACTCTATCAAACAACAGATACAAACAGAAATCACAGGTCAATGGGAAAGGTGAAGGAAAAAATTAAATATTTATCACCCAGGGCTGAAATTATTCAACACTTTCAAAACTTGAGTGGTCACTTGCTTGGGGTCCCCAAGGGGGAAGAACCCTTCGTACAGACCCTTTTGGTTGTTAAGAAGCTGCTACTCTAAATCTATTGCTTGGTAGCTGCATTCTGTAGTTTAGCCACCTGCGCTGTGAAGGAACTACCAAAGCAATGACTGCTGGACAAACGATGCCACATGCCACATCCCTCTATATATTTGACCTCGAAAGAGAACCACAGTGAGGACGAAAAAAGAAGATATTGGTGAATAAAAACAAGAACATGTGTACGAGGACAAGTGCTTATGTTCCATAGTGTCCGTCCTTGCACACTCAAAGCTTCCATCAATCTAGTCGTGAAAATGCGAGAACTCTCTGGACGTCCACGTCCATGCACTGTATCTTTCAGCATCCTCCCACGCAAAGTGTTGTCATGAAGTCATCCGCCACAATCATCTCAAAGAAATGCTAGGCCGCCGCTGCTCGAACTCCGGCATTCAAAAGTCGCCTGTCGAAAAACCTGCATCAAAGCACCAGACCGACGTGGACGAAACGCGTCCGTCAGGTTGTCATGCGCGTGATCCAGCTTGGTATTCAACTCTTCCAATAGACATGTGCAGTGACAAGCAGACTTGGAGAAAGCAATAAACAACACACCATTCACAACCACTGCTTAAAGAAGCTAGAGTGCACATCAAGAATCGCAGAATCCAAAATCTAATTGAACCTTAGTAATAATGTCTCTCCCCGGTTCATTCACTGACATGAATTTCCAGAATCCCCGCGTCAGGGCATTGGTACCCACAAACGAATTCGAACACAGTTTCATCAACTTAAAGTTCAAGGGGGGGGGGGGGGGGGGGGGGGGGGGGGGGGGGCGGTGTTGGGGCAGTGTTCTTCTTCTTACCCACACCCAACTGTAGGTATTGATAAGCCTGGTCCACACCGGGACCCTGTAATTTTGGGCCAGTCATGCATCAACACCGTAGATGGCCACCAGATCGGGGCGTCACGTTCGCTACAGACAGAGGCTGGTCAGCGAGAGTCAACACTCGAAATGTAAACCACAACCTTCGGGATATCGTCCACCGTGCGTTCTGCTCGCAGCGAAGGTCCTGGTGGGCCAGGCCACGGCCACAGCCACAACCACAGCCAGAGAAGGTGGTCACGGGAGTCGGGCGAGATATTGGAGACACCATTGCACAAGTGCTTCATTGTCTGTAATGGATGGTAAAGGTACATTAACTTCAACTACAGAGGAGGTCATATGAGTGGAGCAGGGGCTGCTGTTGTGCAAATGTATAACTCACACATGAACACACACACACACACACACACACACACACACACACACACACACACACACACACACACACACACACACGGAGTTTTAAGGCGACCGGTTTGGTGGGCAAGCACAACATTATTTACCTTGCTGCATGCTCACATTACTGAGGGTGGCAGTGCACATGCACACACACCTTCTCCATGGGCATTCTAGTGATTCCCAATGTGGCCGCAAGTCTCAACATCGTGCACACAACCTTCGACCCGAGTTATCTAGGATGTCAGCACCTTCATATCGGTTGTTGGGTATTTGTTAAACTTTACGTTGAGGTCGTGGTTGAGTCACGGGGTTTGCCTTGTGAGCGTCCTGCTCCCTCGTTTCTGGGTCTTCAGCTTCGATCTCCTCGTCCTCGTCATCAGCCCCCCTAAGATCCACAACCTCCACGTCCACATCTTTCCCTTTATCATTGTCGTCCTTCAACTCATCATGCACGGTCTCCTTCTCTTTCTCCACCTCCTCTCCTTCCTTCTCCTCTCCTTCCTTCTCCTCTTCATCCTCGTCGTCGTCGCTGTCGCTGTCGTCATCCACCTCCTCTCCCTCTCTCTCCACAAACTCCTGTCCATCCTTGTCGACATTATCATCGCCCGAGTCCTTCATGTTTTCCTTATCCCCCTCTTCGTCCTTTTCATCCTGTCCATCCTTGTTGTCGTTGTCCTCACCTTTGTCATCCCCGTCCTCGTTCGAGTCCTTAATCTGCTCCTCCTCCTCCTCCTCGTTTTCGTCAGCTTCCCCCCCCTCAGCATTGTTGTCATCCTTGTCCAACTCCTCGCCGTCGTCCCCATCCATGTCCTCACTCTTGTCCTCGTCATCCCCTTCCTCGCCATCGTCTTTGCCCACCCCTTTGTCCTTCTCGTGTTCCTCTCCATGTACGTTGTCCTCATCGGACAACCCCTCAAGCTCATGCGCTTCCGTCACATATACTTCAAAGCCATCCACTGCGTGAGAGTTAAAGACTCCAAGATGATCATGCCCGTCCCCAAAACGTTCGTAAGTATGCATTCGGTTTGGACCGTCACGCGCAAGCACGGTATTCACCGCCACGGCCACGTCGCCACGACGCACTCCACCAGCTGGTCTTGGTGTCCTGCATTTGCAAGCATTGTGGCCGGTAAGCCCGTAAAGTGAACACTTCTGCTTGTTTTCCCTTGGCTGGCTGACCCTCCCATCTCAAGACAACTCTTGATTCGACTTCCATTAGGAGGACGCCCTTTTTGGCGCTTCATCACAGGAGGGAGAACGGTCTCCTCACTGTCCATGGACGTTCTTGTGCTTGCGAAGCACGTCGGGAAGACAACACCCTCATACGATGCTCGTAAGGCACTCGTGGTGTAAAAGGCGTCCACATACCACGCCATATCCTCGTTTCGTTCCGCGATGGCTGCTGCAGCATGAGTGCATGAACGGTGTCTGTCCTCCCAAAAGCGACATGTGCACAAGACTTTGTCATCAAGGAACTCCACCCGCCACGATTGATGCCGTTTGTGCGCATCTGTCCACATAATCTCATACACATCTTGTGATGCCTTTCGGACCTCATACTTCCTTGCCAACTCCACAGTCTCTCTCAAGATCTTCTCCACAACCGAAGGGAATATGCCCTTCTCTGCATCAGCCTTCTCTCTCCTCTCTGTATGTCAAGTCTGCACGATTCCCTGTACCCCTCGAGCATTGGTATTGGAGGCTTTCCACGAACCTCCAACATCTTGCTGTTCATGGACTCGGCTACAGACGATGTCATTTTACCATACCTTGGATGGACGAAATGGGGGTCTCCCCAATGCCTTTTGTCCGCTTTGTCAAAGTTTTGGTCGACAATGTTCTTGTGCCTCGAATATCCAACGAGCCGCTGGATGTAGTAGTCGAAAACCTCCTCGCAAGTCACCCTCGCCGCTTCAAGGAGCATCGTCGCCTGTTCCTTTTTCAGCCTCAAGCTCTTCAGGAGGTTCCCACTGACATACAGTATGTGTGCAGCTCATCCCCAAACTCCTCACTCACCACTGGTATGAGCCCTTTGTCCCGGTCCGACATTATTGTCATGATTTTGTGGTCCATCTTCGATACAACGCACAAGTGCTTTAGGAGGACGAGAAACCACTTCCAATGCGTCTTCCTCTCGCCATCTACAATCGCATACACCAGGGGGAAACATTGGTCATTCGCATCTTGACCAGTGGCACCAAGAAGATATCCGTCATATTTCCCTCTGATGTGTGCCCCGTCGAGCACAATCAAAGGTCTGCAGTGTGCAAATCCACTGATAGAGGCGGCCAACGTGAAAAACATGCGAACGAATACGTTGTCCTCGCACTCAAGGTCGATGATGGACCCAGGGTTTGTTTCATGCAACACCCTGCAGTACCTGCGCAAGTTGCTGAACCCCTCCTCCGGAGCCCCATTCAGTGTCCGAAGCACAGACGTCCTCGCTCGCAAACACTTGTTGTAGCTGACGTGGGTCTTCACTGCCTTGTCAAACCATTTCTTCAACTTTGTAGAAGTCGTTCCGTTGTCCTCTCGCAACTTCTTTTCAACCATAAGCTCCACCCACCTCAGCTTCGCGTGTTTGTTGCGTTTCAGGCCAGGGTGGCCTGATTTTCTTCAACCAGGGCGATGCGGAGTCAGACGAACAATCTCCGTGTGTCCATTAGCATGTGCTGCTTTGGCCTCCAATGACCATGGGCAATCTGGGTGAGCACATATGAGATAGTACCTCGTTTTGTTCGATCTCTTGATGCGGAACTCAAAACCAGATGCCACGGCGCAGAACACCACCGTGTCACGCAACGCATCCATAGACTCATAACGACCTCCCACTTCCAACAGTTTGAAATCCCCCATGAGTCCTTGTTGTGTGGGAGGTGTAGTCCGCATCGCACCATCAGGACTGGTCAGATCATCACCTGATGAGAACGCCTCACGGTCAGAGGATTCATAAGCTGGTTGGTTTTCTGTGTGTCTCTGCTTCCGACCACGCCTGTCGTATGCGGGGATCGCCGTTGACGGTCCGCTGTCTGAAAGCTCTGGAGGCCACTGGGATCTCTATCCAACGAATGTCGCATCCCTGAAGGTCATATATCTGTGCAGTGAGGCTATCTCGGCATGTTCTTCGTCGTATGTGTCACCCGGCGGTCCAATCTCGCAGTCGTGGTTACCGTCCGTTGGGATATCTCTCAATGACAAGTCCGACACACATGGCGTGCGGGCGCCGATGATATCAATTGCTGCACTTTCTACACGTTCACGCATTCCACGCGGCGTATCCAAAGGCGTTGTGACGGTGGTCCTCAATCCATGTGATGTTGTGTTGTCCAACGGAAGTGAGGCGTTCACATGGAAGGGAGTGTTTGTGTCGCACTCGTGCGTTTGTCGAGTGGAATCTGCAAGGGCCTCGCCACGCTAAGGGGCAACGGTGGTGGGCGTTCTCAGAGGTGCCCATGCAACTGGTGGACTGCGGTAATCAAACTGTGTGGATGGTGAGTAACAACAAAATCGTGATTCAGATGGTCAAGCGAATGGGAAGGACACGTGTGATGAGGACGAAGTGATAGGGATGGATAGGGGTGATGAGGTTGGCTCGACGATAATCCATGCATCATCTCGTACGTTGGATGAACGTGATGTGTCATTGGGAGAGAAGTGGCAAGTGTGTTCGGTGTTGTGCCTGCAAAATATAGACCCAAAGCATGCACGAAGTATGGGTCACCATGGTTTCCCCCATAGGCACGTGCAGAGCCAGGAATGGCAGGAAACATGTAGGCTGGGAAGTGCAAGGGGAGCATGTGGGTTGGATGATAGGGAATGGTGGGGGTGTTAGGAATTGTCGAGAACGGTGAAGCAACACACCGGGAATACTCCACACCCCATGGAAAGTGTGAAATTTGTGGTCTCGGTGGAGTCACGGGAGTACGCATCACATGAAAAAAGGAACGGGGACCGTGGAGAGGGTTCGAGGGACCCATGACATGCGATGAAGAAAATGCAGGTTGACTCACGGAACCCGACAAATGCACAGCCCCAGAGGAGTTTTACTTGGTATGCTCCCCAGGTTCTGACCGGTGGGCATCACCATTCGACGTAGGCATTATAGCCCTTGTGGATTGGGACACACTGTGCACAGTGCACAACACACACAGCGACAAAAGACAAAGAAACACGAAGAGTCCGGACACAACAATCGTCAACAATTCCCATCATAAACTTCGGCGACCTACAATAGCACATAATTAAGACAGAATAACACACACGTCATTTGCTGCTTTGCCTGCTTCAGACTTGCAATCCGATTTTCGTAAGTTGAGTCCCCTAGCTTCCGCTCGGTCCCTCACTGCTCCTAACTCACTGTTACATGCTGCGCTTGCTCACGAGGGCCATTATCCAGGCCCCGCGTCCTTCAAGCTAAAAGCCTGAATTTCAGGCTGAAAGCATGAAAGTAAGGGCCCACAGGGCCCATGTTTGTTCAACTCGAAAGCCTGAAAACAGAGCCCTACAGGCCCTGTTTTCGTTTCAGCCTAAAAAGGGACTGAGCCTTTTAGCCCGAAACGAAGGGCCATTCTTGGGCCGTCACCAGATCTGGTTGCCCTGAAAATTAGGCATCAGACCAGGGGTTTAGGCACGGGCTGATTTTGGCCTATTTCCAAGACAACACTTGGTTGAGCTGCAGAGACGAAGTCTGGCACGTTTGGCATGGCCAAGAGCAGCCTCCTGGACGAGCCAGCACTATATAAGACTGACTCGCCTTTCGTGGTTGGCAGGTAATTCATAGGGGTATTCTGGTGCAGCTCAGGAGGCGGCAGTAGTCTTCAGGATTCGGCAGCAACACTCTGGAGGAGCGCTGCAAGAGTAGCGTTAGATGTAGTCTTCAGCGCTGGGCGCTAGTAGTAGCGCTAGAGTACTGCTGGAGAGAGGGGGTTGGCAAGGCCAGGGAAACTTACCTGAGGCACCATAGCTCCAGCTTCATCTTCGAGGTACGTGCAGCAAGGCGCCAACTTCACAGGGTGACTTACCTGTGGTGCCATAGCTCCAGCTCCATCCTCGAGGTACCGCCAACTTCACAGGTTAGTACTGGACCAAAGAGAGAGAGAGAGAGAGAGAGAGAGAGAGAGAGAGAGAGAGAGAGAGAGAGAGAGAGAGAGAGAGAG